TTGGAGAGGAAGATATGCGACTTCATATAATATGCATGAGCCCTCACCGATTCCTTAGGATAATGCGGTACGTGCCGGCTTTAACGGCTCGAGGCTCTGGCCTGGAGGAAGCATGAAGCATTGCGAATGCTTGGCTTGTCCCGTTTGGCCTTTTGTCTGTTTTATTTCGATGCGAAGGTTAGCGGAGAAAAATTGAGGCTCTCGAAAATGCATCGGAATGCATCTGCTTCAAAGTATTTAATAAAAAACTTTGTTGGAAGTTAAAAGTCGTTTTATTATTGTAGGAGACTTGTTGAAAATTTGAAAATTGCTCGTTTATTAAATATAAACATATTTTTTTTTCAAACGTCACAAAAGTGTTCATTTTTGCGACGTGATTTTTTTTACTTAGAATATAAAAAAGTCATTTTAACGCCCAAGTATAAAAGTAAAGCACTTTTACGCCTAAGCACAAGAGTAAGAAAATATATTATTAAACTGATATAAAGTGTCAAATTCAACGAGCGTAACCATAGTTTCTCGATATATAATCACATGCGAGGTATTACTTTTAAATATTTTTATATTATTTGGAACGTTTGAAATTGTTTAAAAAATTATTTCTGACTTTTAAAAAAAATGCATGTTCTATTCGGAGTAAAAATGACTTTTTTGGCTCGCCTGTAATGTTAATCGTACATCCTCGCCACAATCATTTTTACTCCTAGTAAAACAATATACCTGCTATTTTTTTATCGTTCATCTGATCAACTGATTACTTAGCTATAAAAATAAGGAAATCTACCGTTTTTTCTGAAGTTTGAATTTTCGACTTATGGCCAGTTTTAAGTTCAAAAGGATGTTTTATTTTATAACTCATCATTGTCTACATCTTTCATACAGGCATATTTTAGCATTATCTAATAAAATTCTTTCAATTAGAGAACATCAATAATATTTGACGATTAAAATAATTAACACTAGGTCCCCGAATAGTATTTACAAGAGAAAAATCTTTTTTGCTGATATTTTGAGAAAAATGCATTTTTCATAAAATTTTTTGCTCGTTCTGAAATGGTTAATCCCGTTTATACTTTCCCAAATTACCATACTGTTTCAGAGAAAATTAAAAAAAAACATGAAAACATAGTTGAATTTTTGAAGTCCTAAAAACTAAAAGGCGTTTCTATGGTAATATAATTTGGATTTCATTCTTTGATAGAAGACTATTATTAATTTTGATTAACTTCCTATTTTTTGCTATTATTAAAGAAAATTAAGCATCACATTTTCCGATAACTATTATCATTTCTTCCGTAGCCCATTGAAATACACACACCGGAAAAGTCTAGGGATATTACAATTTTATCCAGCCATCGTCAGTAATTTTATTATATGCATTTCTGATATAATAAAATTAAAATAAACAAATAGTTTACAGGACGTATTGGAAATAAAATGCGAAATTTACCGAATTTTTCAAATTTACCATGATTTTTATTGAACTCAATAAAATACAAATATTTTTTTTTTATTCTAAGCTGCGAATTAAAAAAAAAGATAAAACCATTTTTACTTAATAAAGGGAATGGCCTCCTCTACTGTTCATTACAGCCCTATATCGTCTCTCCATGCTCCTGATCAAGTTGTCGATCTCTTCTTGAGGTACAGCCTGCCACGCTGCATTCACGACCCAAACCAGATCTCTACGAGTTTCACGAGGCATACCCATTCTCAAAATTCTTCTTTGGACAGGGTCCCATACGTGCTTGATGGAGTTGAGGTCAGGAGATTGTGCCGGCCAGGGTAAGATGTTTAATTGATGAGCATTGATAAACTCACTTACCACTCTAGCTGTATGAGGCCGTGCATTGTCATGCATGAGAATGAAGTTTCTCCCAAAGTCATTGGCATGTGGTAACACGACAGGCCCAAGAATTAAATCACGATATGTGATTCCTGTTAGAAGCCTCTCAAGAAAAACGAGATCGGTTTTTCGGCCTAACTGGACTCCTCCCCAGACCATAACTGTTCCACCTTGATAAGGGTGCACTTCCTGCATGATCCAACAGAATAAGATTTCCCGGTTCTCTCCATACCCTAAGCCTTCTCGAATCCGGATGAATTCCAAAGCGTGACTCATCCATAAAGAGAACATTGGCCCATTGTTCATTCGACCACTCAACATGATCTTGAGCCTACAAATATCGTACCTCTCGATTTCCTCTCGTTAAGGGTTGAGCTCTCCAGGGGCGTTTGCTTCTTAAGTTGACCTCTCTTAATCTATTGCGAACAGTGTCAGGACTAACGGTTACATTATGTGTTCCCTGGAGAATTAAACTAAGCTCTGGTGCTGTAAGAGTCGGTTAATTGTAAAAAATTAATCGCGATATTACACTTTGCGTTGGATTTAATGCTCTAGCTACGTCGATTTGGTTGCATTCCAGCTTCAAGCATACCCATGGTCCTTAGCATTTCGTCTCTGTTAAAATGTCTACGCTCCGTAATGTCGTTTAATACTAAACAGAGTTATTTGAATGAATTCTGCACAGTTATCATAAAAACATAGCCAGTACAGGTTAAATTCGAACAATTGATGCTAGGTGCTTTTTATACATTTGACAAAAAATTCACAAATACTTCTGCAAATATCCCAAATTTAGAAATAACTAGTGTGACTACTTCGTTTCAATCGAAGTAGAAAGAATCGGCCTACAAATATGTGGTTTGATTCAAAACATTTATTTTTAACTTTAATAAAATGATATCCCTAGATTTTTCCGGTTTGTGTATATAAAATTTGTACCTCTTTAACATTTTAAAAAGAATTTCAAAAATTTTCCTAAAGAATGCATTTCTTCAAAATGTCAATAATAAAAAATCTTGTCTTTTGTAAAGACAATCTGGTGACATACTGTAAATACATACAGGGTGAGCCTTAAATAAGTGCAAATATTTTCAGGGCTGGTAGATCTCGATAAAAGAAACATATTTTCCCTTTACCATTCTTCAAATAAGTCCAAAATAACCGAGTTATTTAAGTTTGTAAATTCAAAAAAAATGATTTTTTTTGCAAAAATTTTGAGAGCCACCCGTTTTTTCTGTATTTGCATCCCTTTTAGTGCTGTAACCATAGAGAAAAGCTGTAACTATGGTAATATTAGAGATTAAGAAATTATACCGTGGGAAAATATGCGATGAACAGGCAGTTCTAAAAAGTTCTCGAAAAATATACAGGGAAATTTAAAAGAAAATGCACGATTTTCAATATATTTTGTTTGCGAAAAAAAAACCTTATAGACGTGTTCCTCGGGTCGAAATATACCAGACCTAAAATATTTGCACTTATTTAAGACTCACCCTGTATAATGAATAACCTAGTACCTATTTTTAAGTAAATATTCAAATAAATAAACAATATTGAGGCTGTGTACTGTGCCATTAATAATATTGTAATAATTATATCCCTGTAAAAAATCACGCGTTAAAACCATATTTCGTCTGATTTATCGCTTAAAATTACGTTAATTACACCAAATGGACAACAACTCACATTTTGTCTGCTGCATCGCCCAGAAAATTCATTAAACAAGTTAAAGCGTTCGCGATTACGAAATTAAATCGGTAGTGTTGTTGCCTTTCGACAAAGTGGTTAAATATGCATCAGCATGGACGTAAACTACTTTGTTCCGACAGAAATTAGTTTTTCAAATAGATTCACTCACTTTATTTTTATTTATAGCTTTTTATACAAGATAAATCAAATTTTACGCACTTTTTTTATTATAAATCAAGAAAAAATTGAATGATCAATTGTCGTTCCCCAGCCGTCTTTGACGCCGCTTTTTTTTTCGATCGTATGGTACTTATAACTAAAAGAATTTTTAAGCAAACATAAGGAAGTTTGATAGATTTGTTGATAGAGTCCAAGCTCTAGACACGCAATAGTAATTTTATAGAACTACAAATTTAGTTTCATCCGCATCACCAGACGACGAAAAAGACATTAAAGTACAGGTTTCTAATTTATATGTGAAGATGACATGACAGCCTCTATGTTGACTACCGTGTATGGTCTAGTTTTGGTCTAGTTGACAAAATGTTGGTGATCCGTCAAGTTATTTTTAAATCGTTATTTAAATAATTATTAATTCAGATATTCCTGATTTGCTTTTATAGTTTGTGTTTTTATTTTGCGCATTTTGATATTTACTGTAGATCATCATTTTTGTGTTGGATACTAAACTTTTTTATTAAAGAAATTTTTATTAAAGACATTTTAGAAAGTAAATACATAATATTTTTAGTAACAGTTAATTAGTAGTCTATAATATATTTACTATATTATAATTTATTTGTTAAATCAAAAAAGGAAGCGCTATATGTTCTATTGTTGGTGTTTAAAATGTATGTATTCGCAATTTTATTTTTGTTTTGATTATGTTAGACTAAAAAAGTCTCTATTGATTGTTTTATATTTTACAAGGAATAAATAAATTCAATAAATTCTTTCTTCTTTTTATTATAGTCTCCGCGATAACATCTTTTGTTTATTGTTTTCTCTGGGCCAAGGTGATAGCGGCGAGGTGTGTTGGAACGCCTCCGCAGCGGTTTTTCGGTAGTAACGCTTCAAATTGTAAGCTACTGCCTAACCAGGCTGCAAATGGCGCGTTGTGCCTCGTTTGCTTCCCTTCTTTTTTTCAGGATCGCTAGTTCATCGTTGCTAATTCCTCCCGTATTGACGAAGCCGGAAGGCAGAAACACTGAGTGTCTACGGGTAGTCATGTTTTAGTCATGTCTCATGACTAATCTTACTGTAGACTTACCCAATAAATTCTTTCTTCTTTACAAGGAATATATAATTTTGCGCTTGAATAACGTTACCGTGTTTACTCAGAAATAAACAGAGTTAATATAAAATATCTACAGTTTTATAATTTACTTCTTATACACAGTTAGCAGATTAAACCCAATATTTTCGGATGTTCGTTATACTATAAAAGTATCAAAGGAAATCTTACCTGTTCTAGGCACGTAGATATTGAGATAGAGACAGTCCTCACTCTGGTTAGTAAGGAGAGGTAAAAGTTTCTCGAGATACAACAGTCTGCCCCGAGGAAACTCCAGCAAGGCCTCTGAGCGGTTGCCTATATCAGGAGGCCGTTGGGGGCACACGGCCCCAAATCTGTCCGCCAACCTCGTGTTTTTCCAGATGGATGGTGTAACAGGAGGCATGTACCTAGAACAATAAAATAATTACAAAATTATGCTAAACCTAAGGAAACATTATTAATAAATGTGTTAAAGGGAATAGTGTTCTCTCATTCTATACACGGAAAATATTTCAAAAAATTAATACATAGTCATTTCTTGGAAACTTATATGGTGAAATTTTGACAAAATAATTTAGTATTAACTAGGAACACGGTATGTCATAAAATAAAATAACCATCTATTAAGATAGAGATGAAACTTAATAGTAAAATTTTAGGTCAAAGCGTCCTTCCGTGTCCTTAGTCAAGACTACGTTAGACAGACAAGAGTTAAATCGCGTGTATTGTACAATATTTTATCTACGTCTAACTATAAAAACACACAATGAATTTTAAAAATTATTGTACTTAACTATATACCTATCCTAAAAATCAACTATCTTAATACCTTTGTTCAAATAACACCATGCATGGCAATGTCAATACGACGATAAATAATATTAATGTCACTAGTTTAAAAAATGAGCGATTCGGAAAGTATTTCCTCTGACATTGAAGAAGAGGCATTCAGAGCCATTTCTGGATTGCTTCCAGCAAGATCGAAACAGAAGTATGAATATACATACTCTAAATCTGAAAAATGGTGCACCGAAAAAAAAGTACACAACTATGGAAATGAAAAGGTACTCATAACATATTTTTCCAATTTAGTGCAAAATAAATGTTTTACAAAATATTTTTTTCTCTTTGGTAGTTATCTAAACAAAGATTGCAGTAATGAAATTCGTGAGTTAAGAAGCTCTTAACTCATTTAAAATGCGTGAGTTAAGAACTTCTTAACTCACTGACGTAGATAAAACAATTTAAAAACTTTACCATTTGATGTTGAAGGCGTAAATAAGAAAATAAACATACAGAATTGAGACATTTTCAGATTCATCATTATTCAACAGATTTGTTTTAAATTAAACTTCGTCTACCACCTTTAAATAAATCTCACGTTTCAAATGACAAAGTTTATTTAGGATTAGCTTGCTTTCTCACCAAACCGTCGAATACCTCTCCGGACCAACATTCTATTTTAAATCCTTTCTAATCTGCTCTTGTCATACAGTAAAGCGTTAATGGCCACGATCTATCTCTCTATCTTCCTCTCCCTCTATCTCTATCTCCCTCACACATACGCCGCTCAATGCCTCCACTCCAGAACCGTTTCCGCAATCCGAATCTGGCAAAGTCAGATTTAAATATATTCTTCCCGGAATAATAACATCTCGGCGATGTCACTCCAGCGAGTTTCCACATTTCCCTGGCGATTTTCGCCGGGCGGCTTTCAATTCGGATGCCTAACGCGTGACGTTGCCAGATTTACACGGTTTTGTTTGTATTTTTGATCGAGGTTTTAGACTTTTAATAATAGCGTAGCATAAATTTCCTAGTATTTATAAGTCTTTTGGAAAATATACAAGCACAGCTTTTTAATGCATAACTTATTGGGCTCTGATACACATTTCTTTTATACGTATCACGCAGACGTTCATTAACGAAGATCGTTATATGGATATGGGACACGGGACATAGAAAATCTCAGATGATTTTATGCAAAAGTTGTATAAGACTTTTTAAAATAGGCTTTAAAGGTGTACTGTCATCTAGAATTTCGTTTTATTTGGAATAGGCATTTAAAAGTTATTTGCAAAAATCTACCTTCAAATTCAAAACTCATAGTACAGCCCAGAAAAAGCTACAATTAAAATACCAGCAAAAATGTGAAAATAGATTATCTAATCAAGGATTAAACTAGACAACCGACAACACCGCTGAGGAAATTCTACCGACCGCGCTAAACAGCAGATTTGCATCTCGCCGATTGGTCTGTTGGGGGTGAATTTTTTCCGCAGATTCGCCGGATTATGAAATTTAATTTAATTTTATTGCGGTGCGGTGTTGCCGGCTCGATCCATTAAACGGCTTTAACATAATCCCGTCGTTTATTTTATCGCGTTCTTGGTGGTATACTTTGAGGGTGCGTAATCTGGAAAAAACTATTCTCACGCAATCACGTGCAAGTTCATGAAATGTCGGACAAACGGTCAGACAGACAGACAAAAATAAAAAGACGTTTCACTTCAAATATGCGCACATAGTGCACACACATTTTTTTGGTAATCAAAGGTCAGCGACATAATTAGTGGAAAAAAAAATTATTAACTTTTTCTACTAATTCAAAATTACTACTATTAATTTTAATGACTAAAAATAAGACTGTACTTACCGAAGGCTACCGACAGGTGGCGTGGCGTACGGGACACCCAAAAACGCCTCCACCGGTGGATGGATGTGGATCATGACGCCACGCAGTGCACCGTACTTTGTCTTGACCACTCGCGTGCTGTACTTGTGCACCAATAGCGACGACCCCGCTGCACTACACGACACCAGGAACGCAATCTGCAACAGAAAATGTTAGAATGATATAGATTCGGCAGAAAGGATATTTATGTATTTAATGAAATGGATTATGCTGTGAATAATTTTAGTTTAAAAGTAATCTAAATACAATCGTTTACTGTCCATTTGTGCCGATGTTTGTGGTTCAGTGTGACAATAAGAGTCTTGTTAAATGTAACAACATTTTTCAAGTACTATTATTATTATTAAGTACAACCTTTTGTACTTAATAACACCACTATTGACGTCGTGGACTCTGTAAAATTCTTATGGCTAATTGTAGACAACTCGTTAGAATGGGACTTTCACATCGAAACTCTATCAAAGAAACTAAGCGCTTCCTGTTTTGCGCTAAGATCAGTTTCTAAGGAGCTTAACTTATCAACCTTTAGAATAGCTTATTATGCCCTTTTTGAGTCACATCTTCGTTATGCCCTTCCATTCTGGGGTACTTGCTGCGCAACAAAATTTGATCGTATTTTCAGACTTCGAAAGAGAACAGTTCGATATTTATTGGGACTGAACAGAACCCACTGCCAGAATTTCTTTAAAAATTTCAAAATACTGACTCTTCCTTCTTTATTCATTTTTGAATCCGTTTGCTTAATCCGCAAGCACATGTCTGCTATTCCCGAAAGGCCATCTCATAACTATCCACTTAGGAATGCTGAGCACGATCTTTATCTGCCAACCCCGAGCTCAGAACTAGTTAAAGGCTCAATACTGTACAATGCCAAAAAAATGTATAATCGTCTGCCTTTGAATATCAAGTCGCTTTCATTCTTTCCCGCATTTCGCAAAGCTCTGAAATCATACTTACTGGAGAGAGCCCTATATGCGGTAAACGACTTTTTTGTTGATGTTTAATTATGAACAATTTTGAGGTTTAAAGTTTTGATCATCTCACACACTGGTCAGAGGTCAAGTATTTAAAAAAATTAAAATTTTATAACTCTTAAAATTATATCTATTTACTGCTTACTATTCTGCAATTCTCCATGTATGTACTTTTTGTAATTATAATGACTTAATTTTTTTTGAATTGTATGATTTGTATTGTGTATTTTTTGTTGTTCGTATATATTTTTTTGTGCTTTTGTTTGTTTTGTGATTGCTTTGTCGATGAAGCTGTTTTGGCTTTTTGCACAATAAAGCGTTGTTAGTTGTTGTTGTTGTTGCTGTTGTTCGACCGTGAATGGGCGAATATCTTAGCTCGCAAAAAGGCAAACAAAAACAATAAATAGGATAACTTATAATCTAAAGATATTTGCACCAAACCTTCAACTTTAGCTTAGAGCTCCGCAGCCAGGGACTTAGTACCTGCGGTTGGGGACACATTAAATTACAAAAAACCCCTTCCGTTTTGAATGTCATAAACGTGGCATGTTTTGAATGTTTGTAACTACCAACCCCTTGGTATGAGAACAGTTTTTGTATTATTATTTCTCTTTTATTAAAGTTCAGAACAGCATAGTTGGATTCTTTGGAATAGTGATCAAGATTTTCTCTGCCGTGCTCTTTTACTTGTGAATTCCAGGCAGAGTACGGCACTCCTTTTATTTCATTTAATAAAATAAGTAGGGCTATTTACAAATTGAACGTTTCATTTACATGACATATTCTCCTCAAATTTTCTAAAATATTGCTTCTGTCGGACGCATCCGAGGTAATCACAATAAAAATGTTTTAACACAAAGTAGGTTTCTTTACTTCAAATTGTTTTTTATACAGTTACCCAAAATATATAAATTAACAAAAATTCTTAACACAGCTGAATTGAAATGAAAAAAGAAATAAAAAAAATGCTCAAATAAAATTGGAAAATTATTGTCGGTTATTGAGAACGCATTTATAATAAAATAGTATTCCTCTCCATTTATAACAGCAATTTTATTCAGCAGCTCGCACTGTATTATGGCTATTGTCCAAAAGCACAATGCCGCAATTCATCCAGATAAGCAATAGCTATCGAGCTTGCCTCGAATACTCTGTTATTTTCCTCGACAATCTACAAATTTGATCTTATCCGGGAATATTCTTTTACCTTCGAAATATTTTAAAAATAAAATTCTATAGAGGGTATATTGATAGGGCAATTGAAGACTGGATGAAGGAATGAATATAAAATACCACTGAATAACAGACTGCACAAAAATAAATTAAATAAAGTAGGAGGGAGGCCCTATTTTGTTTCTTCTTTATATTAACGACATTGCTGACATAAACATCAGTGATAAAATATGTCTTTTTGCGGACGACACTAGCTTCACTTGGAGCAACAAGAACGTCACGGCCCTTCATAGGATTATATCAAATGACTTAATCACCATTAAATCTTGGTGCGATTCGAATCTCCTAAGTCTAAACATTTCTAAAACTAAACCTTTGTCGTATAAAAATTCGCTGCAGCCTTTTGTACTTAACAACACAACCATTTACGTCGTAAAATCTGTAAAATTCTAAGGGCTTGTTGTAGACAATTCTCTGAAATTGGACATGCATATCGACGCTTTGTCGAAAAAATTAGGCCCTGGCTGTTTTGCATTAAGATCTGTTTCTAAGGAGCTTAACTTGTCAGTAGCTAGGACTGTTTATTATGCACTTTTTGAGTCGCACCTAAGATATGCCCTTCCATTCTGGGGTACGTGTTGTGCGACTCAATTTGACCGCATTTTCAAGCTCCAGAAGAGAGCTGTTCGATATTCACTGTGACCAAACAGCAGAACTCATTGCCAGGACTTTTTTAAAAAATTAAAAATATTAAGTTTTTCTTCCCTATTTATATTTGAATCCGTTTGCCTAATACGTAAGCATGCATCAGCTTCTCAAGAAAGGCCATCTCACACTTATCCACTCAGGAACGCGGAGCAAGATCTTTATCTACCTACCCCATGCTCAGAGTTAGTTAAAAGTTCAATATTATACAACTCGAAAAAAATGCACAATCACCTGCCATTTGAAATCAAATACATAACATCGTTTTCTTCATTTCGCAAAGCATTGAAATCTTATTTACTAGACAAGGCTTTCTACGCCGTAAATGACTTATATTTTGATAATCGAATTTGATCTTGTAAACCCTGGTCTAATATTTGCTATTACTATATTTACTATAAATATAGTAAATATTTTTATCTTATTTTTATTTTTTTATTCTTTGACATTATAAACATTTATAAATGTTTATTTTAGACAATAAGACTGACAATGTAATTTGTATAATGTTTTGTATTCTCTTTTGTTTGTTCGTTTGTTTACTTTGTTTGTTTACTTTACCTTTGTCTACAAATTGTGAATTTTTTTGACAATAAAGGTATTTATTTATTTATTTATAAATCTAATAAACAAATGTTAATCATACTATAATTGATTATGCATAAAAAATCATCAGCACATACATGTTCTAAAGTTTTTATAATAACATTAATAGAATATTTTACAATATTCTGCACTATATACTGTAAAAAAATAATTTTAAAGATAATCAAATATAAATTATTGTTTTTTATAACATTATATCATAAATTAATACCAGAAAAATAATTGTGTTAAAAGCATAAACATAAATGAAGATCGAATTAACAAAATTAGAGCACATTTGTGTAATTAATACGAATTAATAATGTGTGTAAATGAGGATTGGAAGAGCGTCATAATAAATTCGCATTAATAATGATTTAAAATTAATATTCAAATACAATATGGAGTACCTGTTTTGATAATTAAAACATGGCGGTTGTTTTATTTTACCAGATTTTATTTAAACAAAATCAATTTCATGAGAGAATTAATTAAAATTTCAAAATAATATTTGTACGAAATATATAGAATAATTATTTTTAAAATGAGCGATATTCTGGCAACAATTTTAGAAAATTAAAAGTTAAAATCTAAAAATCAGTAACATATTTACTAAGGACAGTTTTCCAGCTCAACTCATTATCTAGATATTCAATTCAAACTCAGAACTTCTCGTTAAGCAATTGTAGTCGATTTATTGTCAATAATTTAAACAAACTTATTACAAAATTACCTATTTGCTTTTATCTAATACCGAGAGATCTGCTTTTGCACGTAGGCAAACATTACCGGGATTATTGAAACCATCAATTACATGTGTAAATGTTTAACAATCCTGAATTTCTCCATATGTATCTGATGGGTATTTGCTTAAATATGTACACGTATATGTTAAATTTAGTAACTATATGAAAGCTATATATAGTTTAATTCTGGAAAGTTAAAGACTGCATCATTTTGAATAGTCCAAAGAGCTATGAAATGTATGTATGACTATGAAAAAATCATTATTTTTCGATTCAAGTTTTTGACAAATCATCGTTTTAAATGTCAGAGATTTTATTATTATTTTAGAGATCTTATTATTTTTTACTTATTTAATTGCGGACGACAATAGCTTCACTTGGAGCAACAAGGACGTCACGGCACTTCATAGGAATATGTCAAATGACTTAATCACCAATAAATCTTGGTGCGATTCGAACCTCCTGAGTCTCAACATTTCTAAAACTAAAGCTTTGACGTATAAAAACTCGCTGCAGCCTTTTGTACTTAACAACACCACCATTGACGTCGTAAAGTCTGTAAAATTCTTGTTGTAGACAATTCTTTAAAATGGGACATGCATATCAACGATTTGTCCAAAAAATTAAGTTCTGCCTGTTTTGCATTAAGATGATTAAGGAGCTTAACTTGTCAGTGACTAGAACTGTTTATTATGCACTTTTTGAGTCGCACCTCAGATATGCCCTTCCATTCTGGGGTACGTGTTGTGCGACTCAATTTGACCGCATTTTCAAGCTCCAGAAGAGAGCTGTTCTATATTCACTGAGACTAAACAGCAGAACTCTTTTGCCAGGACTTTTTAAAAAAATTAAAAGTATTAACTCTTCCTTCCTTATTTATATTTGAATCCGTTTGCCTAAAACGTAAGCATGTATCAGCTTCTCGAGAAAGGCCATCTCACACTTATCCACTCAGGAATGCGGAGCAAGATCTTTATCTATCTACTTCACGCTCAGAGTTAGTTAAAAGTTCAATATTATACAACTCGAAAAAAATGCACAATCACCTGCCATTTGAAATCAAATCCATAACATCAGTTTCTTTATTTCGCAAAGCATTGAAATCTTATTTACTAGACAAGGCTTTCTAGCCGTAAATGACTTATCTTCTTTTTATTTTTTTATTCTTTGACATTGTACACATTTATAAATGTTTATTTTAAACAATAAGACTGACAATATATTATAATATAAATAATATAAATATTCTCTTTTGATTGTTTACTTTAGTTTTATCTACAAATTGTAAAATTTATTGACAATAAAGGCATTTATTTATTTAAAAGTTAAAGAATAAAAATCTATAAAATTTATTTAGTTCAATGATACGGAAAGGGTGATTTAATGGGTGAATTAATAATTTCCCAGCGTACTTAATACGTAATACGCACTTAATACGTAATTTTCTAAACAACATGAACTGATCTCAGACATACCCTAAAATGCATATTTGACAAATAATTATGACGTAACGTTGATCGATCTCTGAACAGACAGTAGGGCAGAAAAAAATGTTTTTTACAAATGAGGTTTTAATCTAATCATGCTACTAAATAGACTCACAGTACTCACCAGTAGGAAGTAGGCGGTGCAAAACAGGAGCGACACGGAGCCGAGAGGAGAGGGCGGCGGTCTCCCGAAGGGTGGCGGCGCGGCGAGGGGGGCGGTCGATGACCTTGACGCGGCGCTCATGACGTCACGGGGTGCATTTGCGGCGGGCGCGTCCGGGTCTACGGCTACGCTCCTGGTCGCTCCTCATGACGTCACTTGGCGTCGCGGACGAAAGAGTGTGATGGTGGATCTAGTGGGCATCTGAAACAAACAACAAGAAGAAATTATAATACAAGTGGATAATAGACTTATCAGGTAAGGGAGCAAACATTTTGAAACGACAAAGAAATATAACGATAATTAAAATTATATCAATAAAAAAATCAATGAAAAATTCAGCTATACTTTCATGTTCCTTTAATTTTCTCTAAAATGGTATAGAAATTTGTAAAAGTATAGGTAATCGGGATTAACTATTTTAGAACAAGCAATTTTTTATGAAGAATGTATTTTTCTCAAACTGACAATAATAAAAAAAACTATTCTTAAAAAAGATTGTTATTAATCAACCCGAAACAATTATTATTTTACTATTAAAATATAACAAAACATCCATATCCGATATAAAATAACAAACACGTTAATTGCCTTAGTTATTATTGTAGCAAATGAAACGTACACATCTTTCCATAACCTAACGAACTGCCGAGCGTAATGAACAGTGGAAACTGTGGAGATATGCAATCTTCGCAGTTGGCAACAATCGCTACATCAATTATTCAGCCTGATACATGGCGGCGTATTTGTACCATATTCCATTCTCGCTCCATTCGGTCCTATCGCTGATTGGTTTCTATTGTACTTTTATTGGGGACGATGTATGATGCCCTTAATTGTATTAGCTGAAGAGATATCGCTGTGAGATAGAGTGGTACAATAAATAGTATACTTAAATTGAATTCTCAATTCTTTTTCTAGGATTATAAAAACAACGAATTTTTGTGGAGCATATTTAGATTATTGAATTGAAAGATTCAACTTATTCAAACCTATTTTAAAGGTCTTTAAGAGATTGTATTGATCCCAAGTGGGATCTTTCACAGTTTCTACAAGCTCTTAATAGAAGTGATTTTTTGGAACGCTAAGTGTTGGTTCTGGGCCCAGAAATGGCAAGCCTGTACCAATTTTGGCGAGGGAATCAGCACCTTCATTTCCTTCTAGACCGACATGTCCCGGTATCCATATTAGCGACACTTTGTTCCTATCTAATATATCGAGTAGTTTCTTACAATGAAGAATCAGTGTACTTTTCGTTGCCTCAAGTGCTTTCAACGCGGCTTGACTATCCAAAAATATGCTTATTGTTTTCCCGGTTTATTGCTGTTCTACCAGCAGCAAAAATTGTGGTGTGTTTTCCAAGGTTGTGGTAGATCTCAGTTTTTGGACTGCTGCAGTAAATTCCTGCGCCAGATCCTTTTTCGTTTTTGAATCCGTCCGTGTACTAACACATTTCTGCATGTAATAAACTGTTTCTCGGCTTATCCCATTCGTCCCTATTCGGAAACAGGACGTTATAGGTGCGTGTCAAGAGTTGGACTGGTGGTGTGAAATTCGAGACCATTCCCAGAATCTCATCCGACTGTAGTTCGTTTACTAGTCGGTTTTGTATGAACATTGTAACGTTTTTAGTTTATTACATGTTTTTATATATGATATATGATGTCTGGCGTATCGTCACCGGATTCCGTATCGTTCAGAAATTGCCCAATATTTATATTTTTTATTTTTTATTGTTAATGAGTTTTTCTCGAGTGAAATACCTTATCCACGACTGCTCTACCGATGAAAAGCTGCCGTTCGCAGTGGTAATGTTTAAAAAACGTTATAACATGATGGTTTCTTGGCTTTTTCGTGCCATCCTTAAGAGATAGTACAATGTAGTACGATAGCAGAAATAAAGATAGTAGAATGTCTAACTTTGAAAAACACCTCACTGTAGTATTGAGCAACAAAAAGAACTGGAAGACAGAAACCTTTTTTCAGCAGTTAAAAGACCATACCATGGTATACCGATGCTTCCAAAACCAAAGCTGAACAGGGATATGAATCTTTCTCAGCTCGTTTCCTCAGTCATGAGGGCCGTGACCTCTTTGGAATGCCTCTATTTCCCTTTCTATTGTCTTCTTTCACATTTCTCGATCTTCAGCCTAGGTAAAACGATACGTGAAGGGGCCGGTCGATTTGATCAGACCATCTCATAGGCTATCCGCTACTACTTTTCCTTCCCTGTACTTCTCCTATTACTAAAAGCTACGTCTATACTGTCATCTCGTCTTCTAGCTACGTTTCCAAAATACTGCAACACTCTCTGCATAATAATGATAGTCTGGTGATTACACTTAACTTTTCCAGTATCGACTGATTAGTTTTCATTGCGGTTCAGGGAAGTAATACGTTTCAAAGGAATCAATATACAGGGTGGTCCGAACTGTATTCGGGAAACTTCGGCAGCATATTATTCAGATAAAAATAAGTAAAAAAGTTCGTATAAATGTATGTCCTAAAATGCTTAGTTTCGGAGATACAGGGTGTAGAAGTTTTATTTTTATTTCTATTTTTTCCAAATAATTTCTGAAGTAACGTCAATATTTGGATGAAACTTGGTGTCTAGAAGTTTTTTGAGATGACAAATTTGATTTTGATGTCAATATGACTCCTATTTGTAGGGGGCACCACCTACATGTGTTTTAACTGTTTTGAAGAGTAATAACTTTTCCTCCGTACCTGTATAAAACTATTGAGTGGAAAAATATACATTTTCGTGATTTTTTATGTAAAAAATATCTCTTGGTAAAAATGGCTACGAGCAACCGTTCTCGAGATATTTAGAATGGATATAGTCAATACATCTCATTATTGACAAAAAATAATAAACATGTTGAGTAGATTGAGTGAAATAATATACATGTCGAAGTTACCCCCGCTGTCGAAGTTACCCCGTTTTACGGTACTTCCCTGGACCGCAATGAGAACTAATCAGTCGATACTGGAAGAGTTAATCTGACTGATTGACTAATTGACTGAAATAGACAAAATTTGGGAACTTTTTATTTTTTTAAATTAATCATAAATTTTTCTTTGAAAAAATGATGATAAAAAAGTTTTTGTTGAAACATTTCAAATTTATGATTTCAGTTTAATAACTATTTAATCAACATGTTTAATTTATGTCAATGACGACAGGTATTGATAATTTTGATTCCAAATATCTCGAGAAGCATATTACTCGTATCGATTTTTACCAAGAGATTTATTATGCTTCAAACCAGTTAAAAAATACGTAGGTGGCGCCCTCTACAAGTAAGAGTCATATTGACATTAAAATCAAATTTCTCATGTCAAAAAACTCCCAAGCACCATTTTCATCCAAATATTGACGTTACTTTAGAAATTATTTGGAAAAATGAGAATAAAAATGAAACTTCTACACCCTGTATCTCCAAAACTAAGCATTTTAGGACATACATTTATACGAACTTTTTTACTTATTTTTATCTGCAGAATATGCTGCCGAAGTCTCCGGAATACAGTTCGGACCACACCTTATTTGCGTTCTTTAACTATAAGTGTCCACGATTCTGAGCCGTATGTGAAGATTGGAAAAACCAACGTTTGGACCAGATTCATTTTAGTGATTCATTTTGGTTATGTATGAGCTTTTCTATATTTTGGTTAATCTCAGCATTGCACTGTTGGCCAAGGCTATTCTTCTTTTAACTTCCTTTACGCATTCGCCCATGTTGCTTATTAGTGACCCCAGATATGTAAAGCTTTCGAGATAGTCAAGCAGGTGAATCCAGAACCGTTCTGCTTCCCAAGTGGAAACCAACTTAAAGCAGAATCCAAGAACCTGGAAGCCACTATCCGTAACCTGGTTTAGGAATCCTCCAACGGTCTCCAAGACACTCGAAGAAATTTCTGAGAACTTACAACCAAGAAAAATGCAGATTTTCCTTGATTTCAGTGAGAAAAATCTTGGGATTGTCACGAGGTTTTTAACAATATACTGTCTCCTCAACGAACACCTCAGTAGATTGAAGCTAAGAAACTCGGACGAATGCAGATTCTTTGGAGAAAATGGAAAAACTGGATAACACTTCATCACTGAGTGCGCCGAGACGACAACCATTCGTGCCATGAACTTTGGTACGACTGATATTGGAGATGGAGATTTAACCTCTGTAAATACTGGCCTTGACACTGTATGATGAGTTTATAAGTATTATAGATTTAATAATATATAATATAATATTATTTCTGTTAAATCAAGAAAGGTTGCAGATCTGTATGGTCACGCTGATTAACTCCCCCCTATACGTTCTATATTCTATCATACAACAAACTCTTATTATTGAGAAAAAAAAATTCAATAAGTATAAAATTTAACTCATATTTTTATACGCTATTGTTAAAATCAATTTTCACAATATATTTTATACATTTTATATTTAATATAAACAGGATCCAACAGAAACTAATTTAGAATTTAACATTTGGCCATATAATTTATTTATCCATCAAAACTAACAAATTGTCCTTTATATAAATAAATGTATAAATCTGAAACCTGGCTAACAAAGCATCTGGTCATAATGAAACCAAACAAGATTAATATGATGTAAATACGATCAATTAGGGACGTACAAAAGTATCGAAACATCCGTAGATATCTTTAAATATCGATATTTATGAAAAATATTTAGTACCACAAATAAAATTCCCCATGACATGAATTACTTTTTTGAAGTTTTTTTTGAGATTTTTTATTATTTTTTAACATTTTATTGCATTTGATCTTCCGTATTCAATGTTTTACATCACGTCATTGTTAAATTTGAAAGCTAATCAATATTGTAACGATGTATATATTAAATATTTTAAAATAAAACGAACTTGAAATTAGTTTAAATAAATTGCATTCAAATGAAAATCCGAAACAAAAAAAAATTAAGTGTGGCATACCATTGTACTCAGGAAACCTAGTTCTTTCAAAACCTGAAATAAAAAATGCAAGTCCGTTTTAAAAAAAAATATTTGGCCTCTGTATCTCACAAATTATCAGTTAATTTAAAAATCTAAAAATACTATCGGATAGCCCTAAGAAAGTGGCTATGAGAATATGCAATTAGTTTTTTGATTTTCTAAAAAGATACGACAGAAAAAAATGAAATTGGTTTTCAAAAAAATCCGTTTTTTCTAAA